TGGTTTTTTATTGCTACTGTAACAAGTGACCAGAAACTGAGTAACTAAAAGTAACATCCTTGCAGTTCACACTGGCAGACAGGCTCTGTACCCTCAAGCCCCACCTTGAAGTGCTGGCCAGGTGGAAACTTATGCGAAGGCTCCGGAGAAAAGTCTACTTAATTTATTCAGGCTGAGTGGTGGTGGTGCACACCTTTAGTCCCAGCAATCGGGAGGCAGAGCCAGGCGGATCTCTGTGAGTTCGAGGCCAGCCTGGTCTACAGAGTGAGATCCAGGAAAGATGCAAAGCTACACAGAGAAACCCTGTCTTGAAAAACCAAAAAAAAAGACCAGGTAACCAAAATGGTTGGATTATATAGAGAAGGGGTTGGATTATATAGAGAAGGGCAGCTGGGGGAAGGGCAGCCTGGCCCCTAGGCTGGAGAAGTTTAGGGTAGGGGGTGGGGTATACCAGCCAGGAGGACCCTTGTAACAGGTAGGGACTGAGGGATGCTGGGAGAACTTGGTCTGCTTTGGTATGTTAAATAGACCCTCAGCCATTTGTCTTCCTTCAATTTGAAACTTAACATAAAGGACCCAAGTTCAAGGCCTAGTGCTGACTAATGGCTCACAACTATCCACAATTCCAGTTCCAGGGGATCTGATGTCCTTTACTGGCTTCCACAGGCACCAGGCACTTGTGTGGTACATGGACATACATTCAGGTAAAACATCCATATACCATAAAATAAATAATTTTTTTAACAGATGATTCTGGATTATTTGGGTAGTTCTAAAGTAATGAAAAAGGTTCCACCCATTTTAAGAATATTTGATGAACAACCTTGATCACATCTGCAAAGATGTTTTCAGCAGAGCATACCTATTCAAATTAACATGAATACACGTTTTGGGAATTTGAGGACCAAATCTGTGTGTGTGTGTGTGTGTGTGTGTGTGTGTGTGTGTGTGTGTGTGTGTGTTTTGTTTTGTTTTAAGACAAAGGTCCTTACTGTTTCCATGTGGTAGCAGCCTGCCTCTGCCACCAAAGCAGTTATGCCATCACCTGTCGCCAGGTGCCCCTCCACTGTCAGCTACGTGACATATGTACCCTTTAAAAGTGCCCGCCCGGCACAGCTCACTCGCTCTCTTGCCTCTTGCTCCTCTCCGTCTCTTCCCTTTCCTCTCTGTCTCTTGTTCTCTTGCCTCCTGCTCCTCACTTGCCTCTCTCCTTCCTTCCTCTTGTCTCTTCCTTTTCCTCCCTGAGTCTGTCTGCCTGCCTCTCTCATGTCCCCACTCCGACGCCACCTTTCACTCTTCTACTCCCCCTCCCCCTTCAATAAACCTTTTGCACTAACTCTTCTGCGCAGTGGTGGTGTGTGTGGTATGTTTGCTTAGTGGCATACTTTGGCAGGGCCTGCTGAAAGGTACCCACTTTGCCTTTCTTTCTTTCTTTTTTGTTTTAATCATTACACTTACTATGTAGCTCTGCCTGAAGTGGTTCTCACTCTGTAGCCCACAGTAATACTCCTGCTTCAGCCTCTCTGAGTGATGGTGACTGACACAGGGATGGTTAGCTACCCATTAAATGGGAAGCTAGCAGTGGAGACCTAATATTGCAAGCTACTCAAAACATAGAGGTAGCCGAGCGGTGGTGGTGCACGCCTTTAATCCCAGGACTCGGGAGGCAGAGCCAGGCGGATCTCTGTGAGTTCAAGGCCAGCCTGGGCTACCAAGTGAGTCCCAGGAAAGGCGCAAAGCTACACAGAGAAACCCTGTCTCGAAAAACCAAAAAAAAAAAAAACCAAAAAAAAACAAAAAAAAAAAAAACATAGAGTTAATCCAGTTGGGCTGGTCGATCACCTAGCTAATGGACAATCCCTCAGAAAGGTGGGGCCACACCTAGGAAGGTGGCCTCTCCTTAAGAGACACTAGAGAAATGGGTGGAATAATTCCACCTGGAATGACAGGCTGTACTTTTTCTTTTCCCCCATGTCCCCACAAACCCCCATCCTTTCCATTGGGTCTGCCTGAAAGGATGAACGCCGCTGGTGAAAACCGCGCGGCGGAAAAGTTACGAGCCACGGCTACGACTACCAGAGTTAGAAAGAGCGTTATTAGAGAGAAACCAGGCCTGGAGAGACAGAAAGGTGGCAGGAACAGAGCAGAGAGGAAACAGTAAAGAGAGGGGTGGGGGTCTGTGCGCGGCTTTTTAAGGCGGGGACACAGTCGCCTGCTGATGACATAAGGCGCCAGACAAGACCCCGAGCTGCACGTGTACGGAATCCTAACACTGCCCACCTTTCTGATACACAATTTTTGTTCCTTTTTGGTCTTTTTCTCTCCAACACTGGCCAGAGCCTAAATCTGCATTTTCTGATACTTTGGGCTTCCATATCTTTCTCTAAAGCTCCTGTCCCTGTCCACATGTCTGTCCACCATGTGGCTGATTTCCATGCTGGTTTAACTCAAAACAGTACAGCTGGTTTGTTTTCTTTCTCTCCTCTGGGCATTTATGCCATGCCTGTCCCAGTCGGTTTTATTGCTATTATTATTATTTTTTTTTTTTTTTTTTTTTTGGTTTTTCGAGACAGGGTTTCTCTGTGTAGCTTTGCGCCTTTCCTGGAACTCACTTGGTAGCCCAGGCTGGCCTTGAACTCACAGAGATCCGCCTGGCTCTGCCTCCCGAGTGCTGGGATTAAAGGCATGCGCCACCCCCCACCCCCCCACTCCCCCCCCCCCCCGCCCCAGTCGGTTTTATTACTATTATTTTTAACTCTAATAAATTAGTCTTCTTTGAATAAACTTTTCCTGCCTTTTGAATCTTTAATTAGTTCAAAAAATCCACTCCTACACCCCTAGATAGTATCAATAGGGTTTACAGATGTACAGCAGTAGGTTGGGTACCAAGTCTTAGAAGGGTATTTTTAGAATCCGGACTTCTTCTTGCCAGATTAGTTTGGTGATGCCTCATAGGCTTACAGGATGGTAGCCCAGGAATAGAGCTATAGCTGTGTGTTACTGTAGAAGGCTCTAGGATGGAGGAGACAAATCACATGACAGAAGGTGGTACAGCCTGAAGTTAGGGTAGACCCTGGTGGCATAGCAGTCCGGTAAGAAAGTGAGGGTATAGAGAGGGGTCCCTGAAGCTGGAGGGGAATGAGCAAGGAGAAGCCTGTCCAGTATGAAGGAGGTAATTCAATTGGGGCGGGGGGAGGCAAAATCTTCTTCTTGGGCTTAGAATCTGAACAGAGGTAAAGATGCCAGACCATTATGCTAGGTCATTTTGCTATTTGAACTCAGGGTCTCAGGCACGCTAAGCCACTTCCCCAGCTCTTTTGCTTACTTAGGAGGGTTTGTTTTTGTTTTTGTTTTTTGATGAACAGGTTCTTATAGCTGAGGTTGACTTAAATTCCCAATCTTCAAGTTTCTCCCTCTCAAGTGATAGGATTACAGACATTCCTGGCTGTTATAACTTAGGTTATTTTGTCTTGCCAGGCGGTGTGGCACCCACCTTTAATCTTAGCATTTAGGAGACAGAGGCAGGTGGATCTCTGTGAGTTCGAGGCCAGCCTGGTCTACAGAGGGAGTTCCAGGACAGCCAAAGCTACACAGAGAAACCCTGTCTCGAAAAACAAAACAAAACAAACAAAAAAAAACTAGAGTATTTTTTAGACAACATCTTGTGTTGCCCAGCCTGGGCTCAAACTCTGATATATGGGGATGACCTTGAACTTCTGACCCTCCTGCCTCAATCTCCCAAGTGCTTGGATTACAGGTGTTGAACCACTACACATGATTTCTGTGACGTTGAGGATCAGACCCCGGGCCTCTGAACGTTAGGCAAGCACTCAAGCAGCTGAGCTATATTCCCAGCGCTAGAGCTGGGTTCTGATAAGGTTTACCTGGCAAACATTTCACCAGACTTTTTTTTTTTTTTTTTTTTTTTTTTGTTTGTTTTTCGAGACAGGGTTTCTCTGTGTAGCTTTGCGCCTTTCCTGGAACTCACTTGGTAGCCCAGGCTGGCCTCGAACTCACAGAGATCCGCCTGGCTCTGCCTCCCGAGTGCTGGGATTAAAGGCGTGCGCCACCACCGCCCGGCATCACCAGACTTTTTTTTAAAAAAATAATTTGCTTATCTTTATTTTATGTGCATTCGTGTTCTAGCCTGCACGTATATCTATGTGAGAGTGTCAGATCTTGGAGTTATAGACAACTGTTAGCTGCCATGTGGGTGCTATGAATCGAACCCATGTCCTCTGGAAGGGCAGTCAGTGCTCTTAACCACTAAGCCATCTCTCCAGCTCCCTTACCAGACTTTCAAACACATCTACAATCCGACATCTGTCCAGGATGGGGAACCAAAATCCTGACATCTTCCTGAGGCACCAGGTCTGCTAGCCTCAACAGTACTAGGTAGGTACACGAGGACCTAGGGGTCTCTGCATCTCTCCAGCCCTACTCCCTGGTACCTGGTTGCCCTTACATGGTGGCTTATTGCCCCCAAGAATGGAAGGCCAATCCATCACTTGATAGGTTTGGTTCATGGGTGCCTTGGACAACAAAAGGACCACTCCGGGGGCCTTTTTGGAGGACGGCTGTTCTCTCTGCCTAGGCAACTGGTCCCTGCTGTTTGGTGTCTGTCTACTTTCCACCCCATTTCATGTCCTACACTCTATTCTGATCTGTGGCCAAGCGGAGGCATTGATTCCACAACTATTCATGTATAGAGTGGTGAATTCCTGGGGGTCTGAGCGGGGCGAGGTGGGAGAACCAAATGAGGATGCTTCCCTGGGAAGGCGGGCCTGTGTTCTTTCAGGCGACTGCAGGGGAGTCCTGTAAAGCGTCCTCATCTGGAATGGGAGCATGAGAAACTCAAGAGAATCTTTTCTCTTCAGGGTAGGAGAAAAGCCACCCGTCCCAGGTCTGGGTTCGAGCGCCCTCTCCAGTTCGGTTGAGTAACGAGGGCGTGGCCAGAGAATTGATTGACAGCTCACTCATATCAGCCAGGCGACGACGGAAGCGTGCTCAGGCCCACTGATCCCTGGCAGCTCCGCCATCCCCAGCTTCTGCGATTTTGGTTCTGACGCGGACCAGACCGGAAGTTGGGCCCAATGACTGCCTAGTCTTAATAGAAACACCGGAAACGTGTTCCCGACTATCGTTCCGCCTGCGCCGCGGCCATCGGTTCCGTTTCCCGGCCCGGAAGTGCGGCCTTCAAGTTCACAAGCCAGGAGGCAGCAACTGCAGGGCCTGGTGCCTGAGGAGTCTGAGGTGGGGTCGAGCGGCCATCCCCCTGCCTCAGAGTCAGAGGGAAGGCCGGGGCGTGCTCGGGGAGGGACGCCCGCGTGAGGATCGGTGCACACGTTGCGAACGCGAGAGGGCGCTGCAGGATCGGGGCAGGACGCGGGCAAGGGTGCGGAGGCGGGAAATAGTGGATGCAGTCGTAGCGGGCCCGAAGGGAGCTCTGGCACAGGGTGGGAGAGAGACAGGTTGATGGAGCAAGGTGCATGGCATGGGTGAGGATGTGGTGGCGAGAATGCAGCAGTAGATGTGGGAGAGTGTGCCTTTGTTATAAGGCCATCCAGAAAGGTCCTGCTGCATCTGAGTAGTCCGAGCCCTCCGGGAAGTAGGTCGAGAGTGGGTTTGAGGAGTTCAGGACCTATGGATTGGCACACAGGTTGAAAAAGGAGGCCGCTGGCAGAGGCAGGTGCAAAGCCTTGGTCCGTTTGAAGAATTAATCCATCATCATAGAGGACCCAGAAAAACTAGGTTAGCAGGCTCCCTCTGGCTGTCGCGTGAGGGAAAGGCCCGGAGGTGGGGATGTGGAAGGGACTTACAAGGTGACTTCCAACAGTCCAAGGCTAGTAGTCACTGGCACAATGTATAAGATAATCGGAGAGAAAAGGAGGAATCAGCCGCGACAAAGGGAAGGACGCGTTTGCGTTAAGAATATATGGCCGGGCGGTGGTGGCGCACGCCTTTAATCCCAGCACTCGGGAGGCAGAGCCAGGCGGATCTCTGGGAGTTCGAGGCCAGCCTGGGCTACCAAGTGAGTTCCAGGACAGGCGCAAAGCTACACAGAGAAACCCTGTCTCGAAAAACCAAAAAAAAAAAAAAAAAAAAAGAATATATGAGTCTGAGATCTCAGTAGCCCTTGTATAGGGGTAGGATTTAATGGGGCCCTAATCTGGAGCCAAGGCCCTTGAGAGACAGATGTTAGGGTGTATACTGTGTCTTGATTCTCCCCCTTAGAGCAGAGTTGTATACAGTCTGATCCAAGTGTAACATCTTTATTTGTTAAATAAAGAAACAGGCACAGAGACCTGGAATTATCTACTTGGTGGGTAATTGGCAGATCTCAGCTTCCTAGCTCCTGTATGTGTGTGTGTGTGTGTGTGTGTGTGTGTGTGTGTGTGTATGAGAGAGAGAGAGAGAGAGAGAGAGAGAGAGAGAGAGAGATGGGGGAGTATCTCCTCTTTTTCAGGGCCTCAGTCCTCAGGATGATAGTCTCAGGTGCATAAGAAGTATGTGGGTTGCTTAACCACACTGGGTTTCAGCTTGCTGACTTTTCACAGCCCTTGTGGAGGTTCTTAGGGCTCAGGTGATGTAAAGAAGAAACTTGGCAGTAGTGCTTTGTTATATGTACTGTTTATTTGCTTTCCTTGGGTGTGAGGGACGCTGCTGATGTCCAGCCTCTAGAGGTGCTCCCATATGATTTTCCAGGAAGCAGGTGCATCCCACCCTCCTGAAAACCTCCACATACACTAGTTAATGGTACCTGGTTCTGAGGTAGTCTTGGATCTGCTTGGGGCCTTAGTGGTGCTAGGATAAGCAAGTTTGGCTAGGGGAGACTAGAAAAGAAAGAAAAAAACCAGAGTGGAAAGTGTATCATGGCTAGCCTGGTGGAGATGAAATAGCCTGTCCTTTCCTCAGGAAGGTCATTCTCAATGAGACAGAGTAGCCAGTTTTGAATGGGAGTTAGAAGGTAGCTAATTTTAGTTACAAGGTAGCCAGTTTTGAATGGGAGTTACTGGCTTTTGCTTTGTTTTGTTTTAAACAAGGCTACCCCTTGGGAGGAGGGCCATCCTGGGATTTAAGGATATTAAATTTGGGGCCTAGGTAAGTTTCCAGAAGAAGGCTAAGCCTGGATCTTCCTTGGAGCAGAAAACAGGGGATCTATGCTTGTGTCGCAGGGATGGAGGACATTGAAGAGTACCTAGGCCAGGAGTGCTGGCGTGTTTTATGTGTTGGTTCAGGGACTGTGATGACCTGCCAGGGACGGATGAGGTGGGCCAAGGCTGGGGATGTAGTGCGCTGTTGGGTTCTGTGGTGAGGATTTAAGGGGATCAGGACATAGGATGGCAGAGAGTACTTAGCCCAATCCCCATTATCTCCTCATCTCGCAGATGGCAGCGACCGAGGCGGTGCACCACATCCACCTACAGAACTTTTCGCGCTCACTCCTGGAGACCCTCAATGGGCAGAGGCTAGGCGGTCACTTCTGCGATGTGACCGTCCGCATCCGTGAAGCTTCCCTGCGCGCGCACCGCTGCGTGTTGGCCGCGGGCTCACCCTTCTTCCAGGATAAGCTGCTGCTTGGCCATTCAGAGATTCGTGTGCCCCCCGTGGTGCCTGCGCAGACGGTGCGCCAGCTGGTCGAGTTCCTGTACAGTGGCTCGCTGGTGGTGGCTCAGGGCGAAGCGCTGCAGGTGCTCACAGCAGCCTCAGTGCTTCGCATCCAAACCGTCATTGATGAGTGCACGCAAATCATCGCGCGTGCCCGTGTCCCCAGCACCCCGGCGCCTGCACCACTGCCGCCACCCGTGCCCCCTCCACTTGCTCCTGCGCAGCTGCGCCACCGTCTGCGCCACTTGCTGGCCGCCCGCCCCCCGGGTCACCCCAGCGCAGCGCACAGCCGCAAGCAGCGCCAGCCTGCACGCCTGCAGCTGCCTGCACCCCCAGCACCCATCAAGGCCGAGGGGCCAGATTCGGAGCCATCGCTGACTGCCGCCCCTGAAGACAGAGGTGAAGAGGATGACGATGAGGAGACAGATGAAGAGACCGACGCTGAAGAGGGTGAAGGCGGCGGCGGCAGCGGCCCAGGTGAGGGCCAAGCGCCCCCTGCCTTCCCCGACTGCGCAGGGGGCTTCCTTACAGCCACAGCTGACAATGCGCGTGAGGACCCGCCTGCATCCACCAGCATCACTGATTATAGTGGTGCCGGCAGAGATTTCCTTCGCGGGACTGCTGTGACCGAGGATGTGTTCCCAGATAGTTATGTGTCTGCTTGGCATGAGGAAGGCAATGGGGGTCCAGAAGGTTGTCCGGTGGAAAGCTCTGCTCCACCTGATTGCGCACTGGCTGGGCCTCGACCTACCAGCGTGAAGACCCCTGGACCACCTGTGGCTCTCTTCCCCTTTCACCTGGGTGCCCCAGGTCCGCCAGCACCAACACCTCCTACTCCATCAGGGCCAGCCCCTGCGCCCCCGCCCACCTTCTACCCCACGCTCCAGCCAGATGCAGCCCCCAGTGCTCAGCTCGAAACTCCGGTTGTGTCTGCTGCCCCTGCTGCTCCAGCCACAGCTGTCTCAGGCACGCCTGGGCGCGCCCCCGGGGCCTCAGGTGCTGAGCAACCCGCCTATGAGTGTAGCCACTGCCGCAAGACTTTCAGTTCCCGGAAAAACTATACCAAGCACATGTTCATCCACTCTGGTGAGTGGGAGAGGAAAAGAAATCGGCTTTACTCGCACAGATTTCTGGGATCCTTAAGCATTGGAGATTTGGTTCCTGGGTGGGATTGGGCCCTTGATAACCTTTGTTTTGTATAAGCCTGGAAATTTAGTTCCCCGTGTAAAGTGGGAGCCTGCCTTTTCCAAAGCCTCCCAAGGTCTTAGAAAACTAGATTCAGCCTGGGATGGTCAGGTTAAAGGAAGTGTTGGTGGAAAATTGACCAGTTTTGGGGGTGGGAGCTGCAGAAAGAGGCCTGAGGTGATTTATGGGGTAAATCATTTATGGGGTAGAAGAATCCTTGAAGTCGGCTGCGATCTGAGCATGTAGCCAGTGTTGTTCCAGACAGGTAGAGTTCCTTGTTAAGGAACCCTGGCTGATCCTGGCATAATTGAATGATGATGTGGATCCAGGAGAAGGGTTCCCAGTAGAGCAGGATTCCAGAGTGGTTTCCTTGACAAGCAAAGGCGTCCTGAACTGACCCAGGAGGGGAGAATAGAGGAGTCCCTACCAAGGAGTCTCCAGGGAGAGCAAGCTGGACTAATGTATGTGTGGCTTGCTTTGTCGTTTACAGGGGAGAAGCCACATCAGTGCGCAGTGTGTTGGCGATCCTTCTCGCTACGCGACTACCTGCTCAAGCATATGGTCACACACACTGGCGTGCGAGCCTTCCAGTGTGCTGTGTGTGCCAAGCGCTTCACGCAGAAGAGCTCACTCAACGTGCATATGCGCACACACCGGCCTGAGCGTGCGCCCTGCCCTGCCTGTGGCAAGGTTTTTTCACACCGCGCACTGTTGGAGCGCCACTTGGCAGCTCACCCTGCACCTTGATTGGTATCCAGCTGTACACAGTATGGAGGTGCAGTCAGACCCTTGGACTAGGTCCACTCCACCAGAAGGCTCTTGCTCCGGAGTATGGGACCCTTTCTCTTCCCCACTCTCACCCCATTTTCCCTGTGGACTTGGGACTCAGAACCCTATTTCCCTCCTACACATGCTTGGCATCTCTGGACATGACTGGGTAGAGGATGGTCAGGGACTCTGCCACCTCAGAGACCTAGACCATTTCCAGGGTGAGCTGGGCACACAGACTCTTGGAACTTGATGCAGGATTTTCGCCCAACCCCCTATTAGGGTATGATGTCTAGGGCTGTCCTCTGCCCCCTAATGCTGGGCCAGTGTGAGTCCTGCTTGACATGCTGAACGGGTTCTGAAGAGGGGGTGTGTGAGGGGGAAACCATAGCTATGAAATATAGATATAGATGAAGAAAAAGACAGAGACACAGGATAACTTCCAGAGGTTCTGGGTCAATACCGCAGACCTTGACTTTATTGCTCACAGCCTTTATATACACAAAAGCAAAGGGGCGGCAAAAAGACCTCCCCCTTTCAAGGACATCGCAGTCCAAAGTACAGTTAAGTGTAAACACTTCCTTAGTACTCAAGATCTCTGGTGACCACACCTTACAGCAAGCATCCTGTAAATAGGCCTTGAGGTATAAGATACCTGGTAACCAGCCTTTGGCCAAAACATCCTATCATGCTGTCTTGCAGGGGAAAAATAAGCTCGGACTCTCTGATCTTGAGTCAAGATGAAAACAGGCCACAAGCTGGGGGTCTCTGTGGGCCCCCACATGCTAGAATTCTCTGACCTCACCCCCAGTCTGGAGCCACCCTTCCCTCATCTGGCACCCATGGAGGTTCAGATGGACCTACCATGGGACTTTAGAATTCCGTTCTAATAAAGGACATTGGGCCAGTGCATGCTAGTAGGTTTTCTGGGCTAAGGGGTGGGGGCTTGGTCCCCATGTTCCTGGGTTATACCTTTGCAGTCCTCTGAGATTTCCTGGGCAGGTAGGCACAATTTGGTTTGATAGCCTGCACTTTTATTTTGGGATTTAGGTGGGTGGGCTGCATATATAACCGTCACCCAGTTTTCTTGAAGTGTTCAACCCTGTGGGCAGGGGAATCTCAGTCCCAATGCTGGCTGCTATATACACAATGGTTGGAGTCCCCTTTTTAACCAGAAATCTTATAGACTTAAGATTCTCCCTCCCCCATTCTGATGGACATGAATGTTGGACATCTTGTGAGATGCCCAGAAGGGTTCTTTGGGGACCAGGCTGCTTTGAGGACATTTGAACTTGGGCTCCAAATCCTAGAGAACCCAGAGTGAATGAGATGGCTGTGTCAGGTGGGTGAGAAGCAAGAATGGCTAGGTCCCAGGTTGCCTATTGACTATAGAAGGTGACCAAAGAAACCAGCATTATATCTGCTATCAGCTCAGAGGCCCAGCCCTGTCTCCTTCCCACCTCCGAAACACTGATGGCTCACTGTAAGGGTTTGGTGCCAGGAGAGGAGCCCTAGTTTAGAGGGTCAGGCCCCGGCCCTACCTGCTCATCTCCTGGGCCAGTGCTCTTCTCTGTCTGGGCATCACAAGCAGAGCTCTCAGCCTTTTGGGTCCCAAGACTCAGACCACAAGGATACCAGAAGTGAAGCAGAGTCCCAGTGCAGCAGGCTCATGGTGGAGAACAGAAGTGTGTTTAAATCCAGATGACAGAGGTGTTCTAAGTGTTTACTGAGCTGTCACCGTGTACCTGCCAGTCAACGAATTTCCCTTGACAGTTTGGGGCAAGGGCGGGGTTTTGTGAAAGGACCTCAAAGCAGGTAAGTAGAGCCATGGGTTGTACTTCTTACCAGGCGTTTTCACTTGGCTGCAGTTTGGCAGGTCCTATTCCCTGTCTCCCTAGTTTCCCATAGTTAACAGACATGAAACGACAAATGCTAGCCTCCAGAGGAGGCCGGTTGGTGGTGACCAAAAGAGGTGGAGCAGGCCTCGTGATCAGGCAGAGGGTTGGAACAGCAGGAGGACTCCCAGCCAGTAAGAGCTATGCGACAGGACAGAGTCCAGGGCATAAGAGAAGTCGCTGATAGTACCTATTGGGAGAGTGGGGTAGACAGATTCGGAGCTCTGGGCAGGGTTGAGACTACACGCTCTCAGCCACTTCGGAAAGGGCCAGTGCCATGGGTGTTTGGCAGAAACTGACCTTCCTCCTACTTTTGCTGCTTTTGCTGATTGGCCTGAGGCAGCCCCCATGGCCAGCAGCTATGGCTGTGGCCCTGCGTTGGTTCCTGGGAGACCCCGCATGCTTTGTGCTGCTTGGCTTGGCATTGCTGGCCAGACCCTGGGTCAGCCCCTGGATGCCCCACTGGCTGAGTCTGGTAGCTGCGGCTCTCACATTAACTCTGTTGCCTCCACAGCTACCCCCAGGGCTACGCTGGCTGCACAAAGATGTGGCCTACGTATTCAAGATCCTCTCCTGTGCCCTGAAAATTAGGCGACTCCTTAACAGGCAGCCTCCAGAGACCTTTGTGAGTGCTTTGGAGCGGCAAGCGCAGGCACGGCCTGACCAGGTAGCTTTTGTGTGTACAGGGCCTGGGGCCTGCTCCATTACGAACAGCCAGCTGGATGCCAGGGCCTGTCAGGCAGCATGGGCACTGAAAGCCAGGCTGAAGGATACCACAGACCAGCAGGCCACAGAGACTGCTGCTATCTTAGTGCTCCCCTCCAAGAACATTCCTGCTTTGACTGTGTTCCTGGGGTTGGCCAAACTGGGCTGCCCTGTGGCCTGGATCAACCCATATGGCCGAGGGATGCCCTTGTTACACTCGGTGCTGAGTTCTGGGGCCAGTGTGCTCATTGTGGACCCAGGTGAGTGCTCCAGGGGCAATGAAGAAAGGGGACAGAAGCAAGGGAGGTCAGAAGTTTCTGGAAGATGAGCAGAGAGTCTTTGTCCCTGTCCCATGCGATTAGGGTCAAAATGTTGGTTCTGGACTCACCACTTTATTTTTTTCCCTAAATCTTTCAAGCCTATTTGATTAATTTGTTTGTTTTTTCGAGACAGGGTTTCTCTGTGTAATTTTGGTGCCTGTCCTGGATCTTGCTCTGTAGCCCAGGCTGGCCTCGAACTCACAGAGATCCGCCTGGCTCTGCCTCCTGAGTGCTGGGATTAATGGTTTGTGCCACCACTGCCTGGCTAATTTTTTTTTTTAATTGAAGTTTTTGTTGGTTTGTTTGTTTCCAAGATAGGATCTCGTTATGTGAAGCTCTGGCTGTCCTGGAACTTGATATGTAAATCAGGCTGGCCTCGAACTCACAGAGATCCACCTGCCCCTGCCTCCTGAGTGCTGGGATTAAAGATGCTGGGCCATGATGCCCAGCTTTATTTGACTAAAGTTGTATTTTATGAATTACAAGGTTCTTCTGTTAGTTTTTTGAGACAGGGTTTCTCTGTGTAGCCCTGGCTGTCCTGGAACTCACTCTGTAGACCAGGCTGGCCTCGAACTCAGAGATCCTCCTGCCTCTGCGACACCACCCCCGACCAATGCTGGGATTAAAGGCGCGTGCGCCACCACCGCCCAGCAGAGTTCTTTATTCAAGAATGAGGAAGCTTTTCTCTGCTACTTGCTTTTCTGTCTCTGGGTCTCTGAGACTCCCTCTTGACTTTGAAGGAAGGTAAGATTTACCTCTCTTTTCCTCTGATGGTCCATGTAGACCTCCAGGAGAGCCTGGAAGAAGTCCTTCCTAAGCTGCTAGCAGAGAATATCTGCTGCTTCTACCTTGGCCGCACGTCACCCACTCCAGGTGTGGAGGCTCTGGAGGCGGCCATGGATGCTGCACCTTCTGACCCGGTGCCTGCCAGCCTTCGAGCTAAGATCCAGTGGCGAAACCCTGCCTTATTCATCTATACTTCAGGAACCACCGGTGAGGAGGCCGACGTCCCTGCCCCCACCCTCCACACTCTGACCTTAACCTCACTCACCTTTCCACCGAGCCTTCTGTTTGTCCTCTGACACCCAACCTCTGACTTTGACTCTGACCCTGAGTGTGGGTCTGTTTTGTTTGGATTTATTATCACCAGCTCTGAAAACCAACCACAGGGTGGGAGGTGGTGCTGTTCACATGTAAATCACAACACTCTGAGGGTTAAGAGGCCAGAGGTTGTGGGGTTCAAGGTCTGCTCCTCTCAGTGGTTCGCATCCTAAAATCAAACAATATACATATTAACATGTCCCCTGTGCATGGACGACAGGCAAATTCACAAAGCATTCCATTCCATGTTTTTAAAAAGGAATACAAATTCAAGCTGGGTGTGGTAATGCACATCTTTAACCCCAGCACTCGGGAGGCAGAGGAAGGAGGATCTCTGGAGTTTGAGGCCAGCCTGGTCTCCAGAGCAAGTTCCAAAACAACCAGGGCTACACAAAGAAACCTTGTCTCGGGATAAATAAATAAGGAATGAAGGTTCTTTTTGATGGAAAAAAAAAAGGGAGAGAAAAGGAAGAAGGAAGGAAGAGAGGGAAGAAGGAAGGGCTGAAGTCTGGGTAACATAGTGAGTCCAAAGTAGCTTGAGCCACAGAGAGATCTTGTCTCAAAAAACAAAACACGCAGAAAAACCAACAACAACAAAGAGACACTCAACAAGTTTTTATGTTTATTGTTACTTACTGTTTTGGTCTTTTGAGACAGAATTTTTTTTTTCAAAAATCTATTTATTTATTATGCCTACATGTATACCTGCAGGCCAGAAGAAGGCACCAGATCTCATAGATGGTTGTGAGCCATGTGGTTAATTGGGAATTGAACTCAGGACCTGTGGAAGAGCAAGCAGCCAGTGCTCTTAACCTTTGAGCCATCTCTCCAGCTCTTAAGACAGAGTCTTGATCTAACAGTTATTTATTTATTTATTTATCTATCTATCTATCTATCTATCTATTTATTTATTTTTGGTTTTTCGAGACAGGATTTCTCTGTGTAGCTTTGGAGCCTGTCCTGGAACTCACTTTGTAGACCAGGCTGGCCTCAAACTCACAGAGATCCACCTGCCTCTGCCTCCCGAGTGCTGGGATTAAAGGCGTGCACCACCACTGCCTGGCAGCTCTAACAGTTTTAACTGACTTTGGACTCCCTATGTAGCTGCCTCACCCTCTTGAGTGCTGGGATTATAGACTTGCCTCACCTTACCCAGAAAAATCTTCATACTTGGTCCCCTCTGAGAGGCTCAAAGGCAGGCAGGCTTGTCTGTGGAGACCCACCCTGCAGTGGTGGTCTCTCTTCCTACCCAACCCTTATTGCTCTGTCATCCTCCAGGACTCCCAAAGCCAGCCATCCTCTCACATGAGCGGGTCTTACAAGTCAGCAAGATGTTGTCATTCTGCGGGGCCACAGCTGATGATGTGGTCTATGTTGTTCTACCTCTGTACCATACAGTTGGCCTTATCCTCGGAGTCCTGGGTTGCTTAGAACTTGGTGAGTCTTACAAGGATTACGGTGTGTTAGTAGGGGGCAATCAAAAGGACACGATTCTATACTCTGCACCCTGAGTTTTTTTTCCCCACCCCAGATTGGGCCATGTAACCCAGGCTGGCCTCAAACTTGGTATATAGCTGAAGGTGGCCTTGAACTTCTGATCCTTCTGACTATATCTCCCAAGTGCTGAATTACAGGTGTGTACCGCTGTAGTGCCTGTGTTGAAAGACCCTTGAGCAAGACCACCACAGAGCTGATATCCAATACAAGCACACAGGGGTTTATTAATAGCAAAGCAAGCCCAGGCTTGGTCCGTGTCCAACACTCAACACAGTGGGTGGAGGAGGATGGCTAGAGCCCTCACATCAAGGGGTTTATATAGGAACATATCTTGGGATTGGACAAGGGGGCTAGGGGTGAGGTAGTTCTTTGAAGTTACTGGCTGAACTATA